GGAATTTAAGCGCTATTAAAAATCGATTTTTGATAGGTCCCTTCGGTACCTACCAAGTCTCACAATTATCATCCGTTTTCTATGTGGTTTCTGTTGAGAAAACCTTTAGGTCATGCAAAGAGAACAACGAATTCGAATTTGGAAATTCCGTTTAGTTTCCGAATTATCGCATGTAATATAATGGGCAAAAAAAAAAAAAAATAATAATAATAATAATAAAAATGGGGTTTTTAAAAATTCGTTAACAATGTAAAATTTTGATTTTACAAAATCCCATTCGTTATTCTCTGCACATTCAAACGTTCTTTCTTGGGGGAAAAGCTCCATGATATCGGACACAAACTGTGGAGTGTGGTAGGTACCAAAGTTTAAAAAAATGAATAAGCAAATAAATGACCTTGAAAATGTTTAGAAAGTTTTTGTTCATTTTCTATATTTTTTCGTCTTATTATAGTTTGTGCCTATAGACCAAAAGGAAGGCCAGACATTGTTCTTTCTTTTGTTTTTTATTTCATTCAGATCGGATAAGTGATTAATGAACAGCATCAAAAAATGTAAAACAGTATGACGAAAAAATCCCCAACCGACGCCGCCATGTTGCCTACTAAATGCTGTGGCAAGCCCTGCGATCACGCGCGCGCAAGTTTGAACTTGTTCGCCTGTCTTCAGCCGTCCTCTACGCTTCACCACATACTCCAACAAACAGGGGCGCACGCGCGCACGTGCGCACGCACATATGTGTATTGTGATATGTAGAGTAGAGGACCACTGGAAGCATGGCCAACAAGTTGTGACATGCGCGTGCGCGCACATAAACGCGCGCAAGTGCGTTTATATAGACCAAACGGAATCCCAGACATTGCTCTTTCTTTTGTGTTTATTTCATTCAGATCGGGTAAGTGATTAATGAACAGCATAAAAAAATGTAAAACAATATGACGTAAAAAATCCCCAACCGACGCCGCCATGCGGCCTACTAAATGCTGTGGCAAGCCCTGCGATCACGCTCGCTCATGTCACAACTTGTTGGCCGTGCTTCCAGTGGTCCTCTACTCTTCATATCACACTCCAATAGCGCGCACTCACGCACGCACATGCACGGGCGCGGATATACACACATGCGCGCGCACTCATTCATTCAAACGCGCGCGCTCGCGCACTCATATTCGCATGAGCAATCATAGTCACACACACACAAAAACACATACAGAAGTGCAAATACACACATACACACATGTGCACATGTGTGTGTGCTGTATGATTACCTAGGCACATGTCTGAACTCGCACTCCTGTCTTCAGCCGTAATTCATATTCTACATCACCCTCCAGCAAATACGCGCACACGCGCTTGCGCGTAAACACAAATTCAGGTGTACACACGTACTCACTAACACGCACTCACACTTATACACATGTCGAAATAAACAACTGATTTTAGGTAAATGACCTTGAAAGTGTTTAAGTTTTCGTTCATTTTCTATAATTTTCGTTCGATTATATTTTGCCCATATAGTCCAAAAGGAAGCCCAGACGTTGCTCTTTCTAATGGTCTTTATTTCATTCAAATCGGATAAAGGGTTAGTGAGCAGCATCAAAAAATGTAAAATGGAGTGGCGATGACGTCATCCCAACGCGACGCCGCGACGCCATGCGGCCCTTTAACTGCTATGGTTACCCCTGCGCGCGCGCGCAAGTTTGAACTTGTTCGCCTGCCTTCAGCCGTCCTCTAAGCTTCACCTCATACTCTAACAAACAGGCGCGCACACGCGCGCGCGGGCGCACGCACATATGTGTATTGTCACAATCGCGCGCGCACGCGCAGTTATATGCACGCAAGTGCGCGCGCGCATGCACACACATAAGGGCACACACCTATACGCAAAAGTGCATGTGGGCGTACTCTCATACACTTTTGCTCGAGCTCACACTCAAACATACACACACGCTCGCGCGCACGCCTACACATAATGGCAGATTTGATATGAAGACATGGTAATCGATAGCTAAACAATATTATACAACCCTGAGGTTTCAATGCAGTACATGTTTTGCATGTAGGCCTACTCAAACAGTCATGTACGCCTACTAAAGCAAACAAACAAACAAAAAAAAACTTTATTTCATCATAAATTATATTGTATCATTCATGAATTGACATAAGGCATAACAATCATTATTTGAACTGACATCAACATGTAATTACTCTATCATAAGCCGGAGGAATGGTCGGAACGAGTGTAAAGGCCATTTACTTCAAATGAGCGAAAATGCACTTGCACCCCATGTTGCTTATGCCCTTGTTACACCAAGAAATAGTTCGAGATGGAGTCTAACAATCGAAGGGCAGTTTCCTCAGACATGTAACAATACGTTAGGACCAAAAACAAAATTCAAGTACCCCGACCCCCTATGGCCAGGGACGGTCCCCTTAAACAGAGAGTTGGACTGGCATCTCATGCCCGTTAGCCAATCACCTTTGGCTGCGGCATGTGAAAGCCCAGCATGATTGGCTGGTGTGATCTGGCTCTTCGTAAGGTCTCACAGGTGTCTCTGGCTCTAAGCAAATGTGTTAAGCCTTATATGGTTATTTTTGTGCTTTATGTGTGGTCATTATAATTCATGTTTTAGGAAAGGATGGGATCAGTGTAGCCAGACATACAATAATTTTTTTCTTTCTTTCTTACGTTTCCTTTCTTTTCCTTTCCTTTCGATATCAACTTTTGTCTCTTTTGCAGCGCTGCCAGATTCTGAAAACAGAGAAGCCACGTCCCAACACTTTTATTATTCGAGGTCTACATTGGACTACTGTCATAGAGCGAACTTTTAATGCACAGTCTGCTAGTGACAGGTACAGATCTGTATATGGAATTTTATATTTTACTGTTATTTTTTAAGAAATTGATTGGTAAACAAACTACTGGAAATTCTAGACTTTGATGGTAATGCCAGGAGTTTATAAAGTTCTTAGAGATATATTGGAAACAGTGACACCAAAATGCCAGCTCTCTCTCTCTATTTATATATTAAAATTTAAGAAACTACATTTGACTTTAAGCAGAATTGAAAATTACAGTTAGAAGAAGTATTTCAGTTCCTCCTTTCACCACTGCAGGCAGATATGTATACTTATTGTCTCAACACTTATCTCTTTTACTGATGTCACATTAACGTATCACACCCTATAGAGAAGCATGGATGGAAGCAATAAAGCAAGTGGCGGAGCGGATAGCAGAGGTGGATGCGACGTCTGGTCAGAATGTCCAAATCCAGCCAGCAGATTGTGTTGACATTAAACTCAATTATTCACAAGAGGATGATGATGGGCTTGGGGCGAGAAGCTCAAAGAAGAAAAGAAAAATTGTGAGTGATCACGCTTTTGGGAATGGCTTATTTAATTCTCTCTTTATTTTTTATTGTTTTTTTTTCTTTTCTTCTTTATGTCTATATCATTGTTTTTTTATTTTTTTATTATTCTATTTTCATACATCTATTTAGTTTTCAAGATTTATAAGGATTCCTGTTATAATGTTTCATAGATTTTAACTGAGGTAGACTTGCTTGTGTTTAATTACTGTTATGATTTTAGGGGTTTAAGAGAAATTTTGAATTGGATCTGGATCTATTTCTCTCTTAATGAATGTGTTATTGACTTGGCTCTCATATCAGCTAGCAGGTTGATGTTTTAAGATGAAATTATAGAATTATCTGTCTTTGTTCTCGATAGATGTTTTAGGTATTTGATTTTTGTTTTCTTCTTCATCATATTGAGAATATTGACTTAGTATGAAATTGATTTCTTTTGCAGACATTGGATAATTTTGAATTCTTAAAGGTACTTGGGAAAGGGACATTTGGAAAAGTAATCTTATGTCGAGAGAAGGTTAGTAATAAACTTGTTTGGAAATACTTTGTGAAATTATAAACAAAAAAAATTATATATACTTAAAGATGTCTAATCAAAAAGTGTATATTTTTAAGAAAGTTCATTAATTAATGTTTTTTTTTTTTTATATATACAACAGAGTAGTAATCACTTTTATGCTATCAAGATCCTTCGTAAGGATGTAATTATTAAGCGCGATGAAGTTGCTCACACACTGACGGAAAACCGAGTGTTGCAAAGGGTTGACCACCCTTTCTTAACGGTAAGTGAAGTCCTTTTAAAGATTATTTTTGTAGACATGAAAGTATACACTCTTGTATCTTTCATGATGCACAGTGAAATAAGTCTAAATGAAGAATAGATTTGATTAAACTCAATCAGCCTAGATGGGAAGGATTACATGCCATACCTATGGTAATATAAGTTCAATTATTGTCTTTATTCATAGATGGCTCTACAAGTGCTTAGTCACCAAGGAGTCAGTTAGTTATTAGTCCTACATATCTCACCTATTTACCCTTTTCCTTGATTTTTTGAAAAGCTTCTCTTCTATTATTTTATTGTCTTTAATGGTATTAACCTAATGTCGACAGGAAAATGGTGCATTTCCTTTGGCAATGCTTGATTAAATGTTTCTGCACATAGATTGCAGAAATATTTAACCAAACATTGTTATTTTTGTTATAAACATTATAATTACTAAATTGTTACTGACAGTACTAACAGCAGTATGAAGTATTAGAAAATATTATTGCAAATCAAGGAAAAGGGTGAACAGGTGAGAGGTTCTTCGCGTAATTGGCTCATTGGTGACTTAGTACTGTGGAGCCATCTGTATATAAAAACAATGACTAAATTCAACACACACAATAGGGCATGGCATGTGTGCACATGCCATACCCAGCGACACTGGGTTAATATTTTGATAACAATCTAATAATCATAATATCAAGAAGCATAATGACATTATCAAAATTGATAGTATTAGAAGAAAAAACTAATTTTCTCTGGGGATTCCTTGGTTGTTGAGCACATGTAGAGCCATCTGGAAGTAACAGAATTCACAGAAAACTTCAGGGGACAGTACATACATTAGCATTCATTAGGTTGTCTCTCTCTATTTCTTTTGTTTATTAAAGGGGATCGTCTGGTCATTTTTCAATGTTTTTCGCCCATCTTGCTAGAATTGAGTTAATTGCATTTTCAAGGAGTTTCAGGGCTCTAATTCTCCCTGGAAAATTTCAAAGCCCAACCATGATTTTTTAGGTGGTAAGAGCCCTTTTCAATGTCAACCGAAATATCATTTTTTTCACATTACCTTAGAAAATCGGTAATTGTGACACAATGATAATAGATAAAAAAATGAGATTATTTTCTGAAAGCTTGTTAAAGTGAAGAGTCATTGGTACGGGTCACAAATTACGATTTTTTCAAACTTTGTGTGTGGATACATGAGCATGTGACGTACCTAGGGCGCCAGTTGCCAGATGCGTAACGCGCTCCTTTCTGTGGTTTAAATGTCCGGAGTATTGAAATGCCCTCACGCTGCCACACCCCTTTTTGCTTCATGCATTGTTTTTCTTGTATTTTCAGTGTTTTTTGGGCTATTTTTGCAAATTTCTTTGGTATGATACTGCTATACGATAATTTAGGCTGCGTTCAACAGGCAGGCAGCAGCAGCAATGACAGAAGAATAGTGTGATTGATAAAGTTGTCGGGAGTACATATGTATTGTTTTCAACCTGGCAATATGTCATTTATATATAAGAAATGTATAATATATGTTTTATGATGTATTATGATATGTAAATGACAGGGAACCAGGAGCCTTGACATCTGAAAGTATACTTTTCAGAGAACACTCCCACCTAACCTAACCTAACCTTTACATAAAGATGACCTAAAATTACCTGAACAAGGCCTGATCCTCTACCACAGGACTCCTATTAAAGGCCAAGGAATTGTCTAAGTTGATATTCACATTTGGTAATCATTGGTATGACCTTTATGGTGTAATGAAGATGAATGACATAAACTGCTATTTTCTCAAAATCATATTTTCACGCATGATTGTAAGATTAACTTTGTATGTAATTACGTGATTTTAATAATTCTTGTTGCAAAATGATTGTCCAGTTCGTATGTACGAACTGTAGCTAAGTCACGCATTATTTCCACCAAATACATTTTTTACTGAAAAAATTAATGGCGATTTTCGGATGTAAAAAAGGCGCTTTTTTGCAAGGTAACTGAAACATTATCGTTTCAGATAGATTTACATAAATGCTACATTTGGTACTCCTATTTGTTGACTAACTCTGGTTAGAAGGAAACTGCAGTACTATCCACTATAAGGAAACTATTACATGATTTGTGAATTCTATCATCTTGCGCTTTTTTTGTGTGTGTGTATACAAAAATTTACGCAGCTCTTTTAAGTAAAATTTCTTGTGCTCAAGCATCACATATCCATTCATATTGTGTAAAATAATTAATGACCTAGTTAAAAAACTAAAGCAAGGAGGACCGGAAAACGGATTTCGTGATCTTACCGACAACTCTTCCCCATAAATTTCATATAAGATAAGGCCAACCTTCATTTTTTTTGTAATGATTTTGAAAATCTGGCAAGCGTCCATAAAACAATCACAAAGAAATTTTTCATACAAATGAACATGATATGCCGTTCATATGGAATATTTTATTTTCTCTATGTTTACATCATACATAGTTTGATCTATGAGCAAAACATTTAAAGAATGCAAACCTCCACCCCCCCACCCCCCAAATGGGGGGCAGGATTGCCAAATAATCTGGATCACCACCAAAATTTTATGGAATATTAGTTAGGCTAAGACACACCACAGGTAAAAGATTTTAATTAAAATCTGTTCATAACTTTTTGTGTTAAAAAAAACATTCCTGGATCCAAACCATGGTCCACATCACCACCAAAGTGCAATCGGCATCTAAATTAGGTTAAAATACACCTCTGGTTAGAATCTCATTAAAATGTGTTCATAACTTTTAGAAATATCAGAAAACACAAACAATCAAACAAACGGAGGTAACAATATAAATAAACAAAAGGTCATGGGATACACCAAAATGATCATATTATATATTACATACCTTATGTATGTATTTTTACACTGGCCTGTATTTGTATATTGTCATTTCATGGGAGTTTGAGTATGAAAATTGGCAATGTCGCCCTGTAGAGTTAAACACCACGGATCCTCAGGTGCAAAGACACGTGAGGCCTGATGTCCCCCTGTTCGGGCTGAGAATGGGCAACAGTAATAGGTAATTAATAGACAATTATATCATATACAATTATTTCCTACATGATTTCATTTGTAAAATGTAAAAAAAAAAAAAAAGGAAAAAGATCACGATGTCTGGGTCCTTCACATTTTTGCACATAGCACACACATTTTAAGTCTGATTTTAACGTATCATGGCTCATTTTGTAGGTGAATAGTAGATCTATTACATGCTGCAATAAAGATTTGCAATATTTTCATGCGCATCTTATAAATGTGACATATATTATTATAATCCCTTTTTAGGTTGACTTCTATAAAATTAAATCACAAAAAAACTGTAGTCATTCTGGTCATTTTCTTATACAGAATCATCCTTTATCTAGGAAATGTAGAAAGCACTTTCTTCCATTTTGACTTGTTTTTGTTTTTGTTTTTGTTTTTTAGAAATATTTTACCGGGTTGACTGGCAGGTCTGAAGAAGACATTTTTTTCCGTATATATATCACTTTTACAAGAAGCACAGGAAAAAAGTTGAAAATTTCACTTCTTACATTCCTTGATATTTTATTTTATTACAAAAAAAGAGCCATGATATGTTTATTTTGGACTAATTTTGCGCTCTGTATGGATTTTGGAAATAAATAAATATACTTCTGAAATAGCAGCCTTGAAGTTTTTTTTTCTCTTTTCATAATACTCATTGTATGAAACATTAAAGGGAGAAGCATAATCTTCCTAAACCATAATTATCTATCATCTACCTGCATTCCAAAGTCTTGCGGACATTGCCAACACATAACGGTCAAAATCTTGCATCTAGTGTAGCAGGGTGGCAGTAATTTTTCATGTCTATAGTCCTACATTGACCATTAATTAAGAAAGTAGTTATTACAAATCAACATTAGTCAGCAATATTTAAAAGATATTTACTGCATGAAGTTTGACTAAAGTCTCTTTTTTTCTCTCTCTTTGTTTTTGATGGGCAGTACCTCAAGTATTCATTCCAAACAAATGACCGCCTGTGCTTTGTAATGGAATATGTGAACGGTGGAGAGCTCTTCTTCCATCTCAACCAGGAGCGCATCTTCCCGGAGGAACGTGCCAAATTCTATGGGGCTGAGATCTGCTTAGCTTTGGGATACCTCCATGAGAGAAACATTATATATCGTGATTTAAAGGTAAGACTGGTAAAAGACAGGTAACCCACTAGTGATAGTTCTTACAGAGTATGATAATTCTCATTTCCAGGCGGTATTGATTGCAGCACATGGGCCCGACTGGGGACACGCCCGTGTGCTGCCTACTTCGGGTGAGAAAATCATAGCGCAAACTCCAATCTCATGCCCCTTTTATAGCCATGGGAGTTTATCGAAGTTTACCCGTCTGGGAAACAAACAGAAAGGTAGACTTCAATAAAGTTAAAATGCAGTCTCAATACTTGTTGCAATGGTGTTTTATTTTAGTTTTGAGTCTAGATTCCTTAACCCATTAACGGCAGTATATTTTGAAGCTGAAAATAAAAGATTCCGGGCGGCTACAAAATCAGCGGGCAGGGCTGCCCCGGACTCTGCCCATCCGCCAGCCGCGGCCCGCTGCTGGGTTGGAGTGCGAGCCCTGATACAGCGTCAGAGTGGCGGAATGCCCAGCAATGTTTATTTTTTCAGGTGTCTCAAATGTGGGACACCCGTCATTAGTGGGTTTAGGGTGTCATCACACTGAATTTTCAAAAAATATTTTTAAAAATACTATTTTTTTTTTTTTTCTGTAATCTAGTAGGCTTTGGCAATCCCGTGATGTAATATATCTGCTAAATACCTTAAGATAAAGGAGTCATGACTAAATTTCTGACTCCCTTGCCTCCAGCTCTGATGTTTACTTTGCACCATCCATGCAAATATACTCAACAAATTGGTGTTTTTGGATTTCATTCAATTTATTTTTGTATTCTCTGGTAGCTAGCTGGCAATTCTGCTTACTGCATCAGCTGATAGCCCCGACTGAGAGACTAGGTGGGCAGTCACCATGAGAGAGCCCAAGGGAGAGGCTACACATCTGCCTCTGCGACACCGTCCCATAGACATACCTGTGATGTGCCCTCATCACACACTAAGAGGACACTATTGATGATAGAAGTTATTCCTGTAACTTAAACATATGATGAGAAATACATCTCAATCACAGCTGCAGCAGTTGTTTATTCATATGAAATGCTTCATGAGGTACTGTAAACGCATTGTGAAGCCTATGATGACACACAGTACTTCTACAATCATGTCCAGTTATTGCTGTTAGTACCTCGCAAAAGGGGGGGACCAGGTCCCAGCTACACTTCAGAATACCATGTGAATGCTGTAGAATGCATCAAGATTGATGCAGAGATCAGATTTAAAAAGCAAAAATAAAAAACAAAGCCTGATATCTCAAAACTACACCTTTGTCAACATTTTTTTATGTATCTCCATAATTACTAGGGCAATAGGTTTTGGAGCAATTGAAAGCTGAATAAACTTGCAATTTTTTATGTGAATCTATTTTCATATCAGGTGATAAAAGTCCATATATTATGTTTTATATTCATAACAATGAACATTAAAAAGAAAATAGCAATCCCACTAAATTATAAAGAAATTCAAAATCCAAATGGCAAAAGATTTAGGTATTGCTATAGAGTATATGTGGTATTTTTTTAAAGAAGTTCATTCAATAGATAAGCGAGATTCACAATTTTATTTTTATTTTTAAAGACTTGTTCTTTTAAAATAATTTCATGGTTTATTATCCAAATGATATGAAACTTGGTGGTGTAAATTGTAATATACGTATATATAACTTATTAAAAATTGCAAAAATCTGAACATAATTAACGAACTTCATTCTCTAGTGTGACGGCCCCCTTAATGATGCCTTGTTTGTTTCTTTCAGTAACATATTTGCCAAGATATGGTAAGGGAAAATCAGATTTTTTATAATAAAACCACTTTATCCAATGCATTACTACACAGCATGCCATGCCTCAAAGCAGCCATAAATGCAGAGGGCCACTCTACACTCCCTGCAGTAGCTCCTGCTGCTGCTTCTCTTGTCTTGCCTTCAACACCAATAGCACCACCATCGCCTGCCGTCAGGGATCTGGGATACTATGTGTTGCCGCTGCTGCAGAGCCTGTCTCACTACAACAGGTGGTCATGTTGCAGTGTAGGCTTTGCTGGAATTTGCCCCTTCTCTGAATTACCCCAAAAATTAAGAGGCAAGGCCGGATCTGAAGGTCTTTTAGGAAACATCTCCGCTCAGAGCATGATGGACAGCCCAGGCATTGACGAGGGCCATGCCAAAGAGGGAGAAGAAGTCCTTCCTGTGCCAGACCTTGGAGCGGCAAGTCATCGGGTGGTAGCTTGCCATCTGATCACCAACATCGACACCCTTCATGCCGACATTGTAATCCTTTACTACTGGTGGCATATCCCCATGCATTGCAGGAGTATGGACAGTAGATAGCATGGCGACAGTTTTGTTGGCTTTCCACATCAAGGCCAATAACCCTGTATTGCTGCTATGGTAATCGACATCACCCATCCTTCTCACAATGAAGTCTGTGGGCGTGCCAGCAGCAAATGAAAGAGAGTTGGTGACGTGTACCAGTTGTCCACAAATAACGGGTATCCCAGCCCAAGGAAGCCACCAGTCTTTTGTGGAAGAGGGCATGTCACCACAGTCCTGCCTGGTGTACACCTTGAAGCAAGAGGTATACCCTGCAGCTGGGCCAGTACTAATACAGAGCTTCAGCCCAAACCTCGCCCTCTTGGTTGGGTTGTAGGTCCTAAAAGCTGACCACCCACCAACTTCTATAAGAACTTGTCAATGGTGATGTCATTTAGGGTCAGAGCTTCCACATCCTGTACTGTGGGAGTGGAGCTCTTTCCTCCAAGTGACTGAAATGGAGGTGAGTCATCAACTGATCGAACCAATCCCACGTCATGGTCTCAACAATGAACTCATGACGAAAAACAATTGGTCAACCAGTAGTCGCAATAACTGGGGAGGTCCACCATCCCCAATATCACATAAATACCAAGATACGCCATGACCTCCTGCCGGGACGTGGGAGTCCACTTCCTTGTATGGGGCGGGGCGGCAGGAGAGAGTACGACTGTGTACCTATGGGAGTGGAAAAGAAAAACAAGTAATTAATATATTCTGATTCCTCAAAGTTAGATTGTCTCTGATGTGATGAAATCAAGGATATCGTTGTTGAAAAAACACCCAAGACATCCATAGGGACCTTCACCCCTAGGAACACCTAGGAATTCGTTGTTCCTGGGGATGTTGTCCTTGTGTCGCCAGATGAAACCCTTGGAGTCGGGGCCTTTCCTTAGAGCCAGCTTGGCAGCCACACTAGAAAGTGGCTCATCACTGTTCAGTGTGGTGTTGATAGTTCTGTAAACCTGAGGAATCCAGTTGGTCCTTCGAGCTGGACTTGTTGAACAAGGGGTTAGTGACGTCCCCCGCCCTACTCAGCAGCCACTTGTCACCACTTTCTTCCGATGAGATGTAGAAACAAGTGGACGATGAGCATGCACGTGGTCACAAAGGATGGCGACAAAGCACCCTTGCAGTACCTGCCAATGATATCGAGGGCTAGGGGTCTCGATGGCATCCCTGTGGGATTGGAAAAGAAAAACAAGTAAGTAATACATTCTGATAGCTCAGTGCTAGATTCTTTCAATGTGAATACAAATAGAAAGAAGACAAGAGTGATAACGGGAATACAAATAGAAAGAAGACAAGAGTGATAATAACGAAACTTACTGATGAAGTCAAGGGCTGGGCTTTTCGTCCTCAGACAGAGAGGAGATATTGGCGCAGCAGACAATGGCGACAGCGCCCCTGTGGGAGTAGAAAAGAAAAACAAAGAAGTAGTACATTCTGATAGCTCAATGCTAGATTTTATCAATGTGAATACAATGGGAAAGAAAACAAGATTATTAATAATGAAACTTACAGAAGACGACGAGGGCTAGGGGGCATCGACATCAGAGGAGGAGGAAGAGGGGGAGTGTGGGTTGTGTGCTAAAAGAGGCATGGCAAAAGTGAGTGATAAAGGAGCTGCAAGCACCCCTATGTGGAAAATTTTGCAGGCTTCAACACTGGTGGGAACATGGAACCAACAGTAGCAAATGATGTCTAAGCATCCTGGGTCACATGTCACATTAACATGACCAATGAAGTTGTAGCTAGTGTCTGATGTTACCTCAGGATGTAACATTATTTACTACTGTGTGGAAGTAAAATGGCGGCTGTAAAGTGATGTCACTTCATCTGCCTACTAGCTTATCTATCTCTCTATCT